CCGTATCAAATAGAGATCCTTCAGTATCCATTTCAGAGGCATTGGTGATCGTAACAAAATTAGACGCCTGGGGGGCTGACCCCCCAGGGTCTTCAGGATCGTTCATGGGAAACAATATGATAGACTTACCAGAACTCGAAGTATTAATATAAAAATAATAGAATATACACAAATACACTAAAATAAAATAAATTTACACTAATTTTAAGTTCCACTTTCCAAATTATTAATTAAAAACTAGAAAACAAAAAAAAGACAACCCGCTTCTTCAAAGTTTCCCGCGCTTTTTTCTATGTATCTTTCTATCACTACTTTAACATGACAGCTGATGACGTCACAGGCCAGTAAACAGAATCGTGATTGGTTGTGACGACGACCAATCATAGGACGTTTTCGTCTTTGAATAAATTCCTAAAAATATTGCATTTTCTTTACGTTATTTTACTAAATCTAAACAATCTTATTATCTATCAGGATGACCACTGCTGCTGCTGCTGCTTCTTTTATTAATGGCTTATCTGCGCATTTCGCACAATTCTGCCAATGTCAAGTAAATAAATTAGTTTCTACATGTAAAAATCCAGGATGACCACAAAATAAAACTTATTTTCGATAGTGTCAAATACCCTATTGTAGTGTGCGTGCCAGTGTGACCATAGTCATTAAAAACACCCCAATAACTTAACGTTACGACGTTATAGTGTTAACGTTAACGCTATGCTATTTAATAATATAATGTAAATTCGTTTGTCAATATCAGCATAGATATTTTAAAATCTTTAAGAGTAGGTAATTATTATTGGAGGCCATACATTCGAGAGACTATTTAATAAATTTTTAAGTTAGTTTGAAAATAAAATTTTAATATATAGAAAGTTTGAAACCTTTGGATATAAGTTTTGCTTTATTCGACGTAACCCTTTTATAGTAAAATACATATCATCGCTCTTATAATGAGTCGAACAAACTATGCTGTGCGAAGTTGGATTCCGTGAAGGTTCATTTCGACTATTTCGAATGACTGAAATCCACTTCTCTTTCACATTTTGATGTCGGTTTGAAAATGAAAAAATGTATGCGTTTAGTAAAAATTTTTTATCTCCTTATTCTAACACTTCAATATCTGTGATCTGGACCTCTATGTAGCATTTTGAATGCAAAAGAACAATGGTCAAAATGGACTACGAAAAAAAAGTTCTTGTACCAAGATGGAACTATCACCAAAACGTAGTATAAGTTGAATGTAATTATTATATACCAACAATTTATTTTTAAAAGCTGGGAAAAGAAAGATAATTCTCTCTAAAATATGTCTTTACTTCTTAGAACGCAGTTTAAATTATAATATTTTTGAACGCATATTTGATTAATCTATATATATAAAAATGAATCGCAAAATGTGTTGGTAAGCGCATAACTCAACAACGCCTCGACCAATTTGGCCAAATCTTTTTTTAAAATGTTCGTTGAAGTTCAAGGATGGTTTTTACGGCGAGAAAATTATTGCTGGAAAAACCCTAAAAATAGCCCTTTTCTTTTTCCCATACAAATGATTTGTAACTAAAACGTAGTCAATTTGAGCTTTATTGCTATGGTATAAAGTTCATATTAAATTACAAGCACTCACTGTTGTCTAAGCAATGTAGGTGTGTTCCTAACGTCAAAGATCATATCTATCAAAACAATGTGCGTGTGTGCGTTGGAGCACAGAATACATAATTGGAGGAGTTTAATGTCGCGTTCCGAAACTCGCGTTTCTTTTGTATTAGTTTCGGCACGCGAGATAAAATGCATCAGTTTCCACGTCATTACATCAGTCAAACAAAAATCGCGTTACCAACAGTGTTTTATTATTTTTAATATCCAAATTTTAAATCAATAAAACAATTCGTACGGCTTAAAAGGATTTGACTTCAAGTCATATCAAATTTAAAAAAAAAAAAAAAGTTGTCTGTGACCTAATCTACTGAGTTTGCTTTTGTCAACTGATACACGAAACAAATTCGTATATCGTGTTTTGTGCAGAGTGTTTACTTAGTTAGTGTTTGTTTAGTTCGTGATTAGTGAAAAAATAATTTATATTTGATATGCCTCCTATAAGACGAAGCAATTTAGGTAGAAGAACCAGAAATGCTGATAATAATAATAATTATGATTCACATGATTAACAATAAAGCGATTACTTACTTTTAAATCCTTATATATGTTTTATTTAATTATTTTTTATTCACAACGCCCTATCACCAGGGTGACGGTTCTGTTCAGGAGAATTTTTTTAAATACGTAGGCAAAAAAACTGCCACATTACAAATCTTTTTGACAGGACGAAGTCTGTCGGGTCAGCTAGTAATAATAATAATAATGTCATTCCTAGAGAAGTCCATTTCTTTTCAAAGCACAAGATCGATTTTATTTCTGACTAATCGAATTTGATACAAATCTTATCTTATATTATATACATGAAAATTATAAAACTTAGATTAGATTTCTAATATAATTAGATGTTATTTAGAGGAAAATAGTTTATTTATAATGAAATTAAAAACTAATGATTATTCATAAGAATCGATACTACAGTATTCAATCGATTGCGACCTCCCTTTTTTAGACAAGTATGTGTGACGTGTTTCTACGCAGACCGTTTTGTAACTTTGGCGGCGATTTTGTATTATTTTCTGTATTATGGGGAGCATACTAAGTTCCATGGGCAGTATAGAATTGAGGTCTATAGAGAAATACCGGATTCTCTGGATTTATTAGAATTAGACTTAAATATAAATAACGTCCTAATTATAAGGGGCAGAATTAAGTCGAGACATTGGGAGGAAACAATATTATGTCTACATTTTAATAAATAATGACACATCCGGATTAGATGGCAGTAATTGCTGCGTTCATATAATGACCATAGTTTGGTATCTTGGATGGGCCAGACACGAACTGAATGTAGCTGCTCCTGTAGCATTCTGTGATAAGGTATTCATTAGTTGTAATAAAGAAAAGAAAAATCAACATGTTGTTTTATTATATCCTTTTGAAATTAGTATTTTCACTACTACTTTATATAAGTTATAGTGTAAGGTAGAAAAGTAGAGTTATTGAGAGCAATCTTAAAAATTCTATCATTTTTTTTGATGTTCATTGGTTCACAAAAAAATGATTTTATTTCTTACAGTCAATAAAAATAATATATCAGATATGGAGCAAGTTTGAAGTATTAAGTGAAAGTATGCACTTTTAGGACTACTATTAGGCATTATCTGACGTGTGTTTTACATATTTCAACTGTAATACCTCTAACTCAAAATGATACAGTTAAAATAATACGACATAACCTCAAAAACATATTACACAATTACTCGATACTCCCAGCTTTTAAAAATATATTTAATGTCTTTCTTTGTTCTAGTTGCATAGGCAAACAAAATAACATATGTTTCATCAAGTTACGTTTTATTCGATTTTATTAGTCCAAGCATGTTAGGCAAATGGCCATTGTTCTTTATTAAGAAACCGAACAAACCATTACATATTCCAATATTTTATATCAACTGATTGAAGGAAAACTAATTTTGATAAGGAAGAACTTTTAATCTATTTCTTTATTGATTAAACTAAATTTCTTTATTGAAAAAACTAATTAACGGTGCCCCTCACTAGACTGCAAAAAGTTAATAACTCATTCAAGGGTCTTTGTGTGCGCTTCTACAATAAGGTCCCAAGCAAAATACAACAATTAGGTATTATGCAGTTTAAATCTACTATTAAAAAAATACTTATTAAAATGCTTACTATAAGGTATCCGATTATATAATGCCGCTTCCGCAAGCTTGCCAAACCCCAACAAGCCGCAGCAAACTCAAACGTGTGGATAGAGTGTTTGCGTTGGTTTGTGTTGACTTGTAAGCGTTTGTAGTCGATCCGATCGAATGTCGGTTTTTGGTCACAAATTAAAGGAAGTTTGCGCCAGCGCTTGCGACGCGTCCACACGTTTGCGCGTATTCAGTCGTTTGTGTGCTGGTGGTGAGTAGATGTACGCTTGTATTGTGTAAAAACATGAGTGACTGGTCAAGTGAAGATATTTTAAATTTTCAGGAACTTTACCAGGCAGGACCATGCAAAAATAAATTAAACCAAATGTTATGGCCGATATAACCTCAATATCCATCACGTCCGTTATGCTTGGCTCTTCACAACACACTAAATCACTCGCAAGCGTGTGGATGGCGATATTTGATTTCCTAAATTAAGCCAAACGTTTGCAGAGGTTTGGAATTTGCGGCAAGTGCCAAACGTGCGGTCGCGGCATAACAGATAAGAACGCTTGGACTTGAGATAATCCAGCAACTGGATAGGTGATTATTTCTAAACTCATTATCTTGTTTCCATTATTATTAAATGATTATGTTATCATTATAAGACCATAGTTTTTTTTCTCTCTCTGTTTATAATGTATTGATTTGGTAATGACATGGTTTTTGTAAATGTCATTACTCTTATTAAAGTTGGTGAGTTTCTAACTCGTTCTTCGTATCAGCCAAAAGACGTCCTGAACGAGTGGTAGGGAAAAAAATGTTGGACGATTCAAAAGTACTTTTAAGAAGTACCTATATTTGAATAAAGATTATTTTGACTTTGACTTTGTTAACCCTCGCGGATGACATTACCGAAGTTATCAATGACAGTACTAGTACTAGTAAAAGAAGTGTTCCCCGTTGCATAATAGACTTCTTAGCAAATCCAGATTATTATTTACCATTGTTTAAATACATTTGTAATACTATATAGAAAATATATAAATGTGTAGGTAGCTATTTGTAAATGTTAAATATTGTCATAAAATGTATTAGCTGAAGGACCTGTATCCGTGGCTATGAATAAATAATTATTTAAAAAAAATAGTAAATTGGCAACACTGATGAACACGACGCGATTACGGAGCCACGAAACTAACGACGTGTCAGTTAGTGTCCGTCCAATCTGGACTTTTCGTGTAACTGTGAAACGCGTTTTACTTATGAGATAAAAGTAACAGCTAACTTGTTCAAAATTTGACAATTTTATATTATTCCGCATTAAATATTGTTACCGCAATTTAATCTTTATAACAATGGTTAGTTTAATCATCTAAGTCAAAATTTTAACTAGTGATTTTGTATTTGTAATAATTTATTGTTTCTTCTTAGCCCGCTTCTCCAAGTTCTACATCCGTTGGATCTGGGAGTCGTTCTCCAAGTAAAGCTACAGCAGCTCCACGTTCTGCAAGTGGAAGCACAGTACGACAACGTAAAACTACCACAACCACTACTGCTGCTAGAAATCGCAGCACTGGTGCTGGAACAGGTGGAATGTGGCGATTTTACACGGATGATTCTCCTGGTGTCAAAGTGTAAGTATCAGCCGCAACATTTTCTCCATCCATATAAATGTATTTTAAATTGTTAATGTTCAAATATTTTGAAATATATTGTAAATATTCTTTACTTTCAGTGGTCCAGTTCCAGTCCTGGTCATGTCATTGCTTTTCATAGCATCTGTATTCATGCTACACATCTGGGGCAAATACACTAGGGCCTAAAGTTTAGAAAATAGTTACTGTGCATGAGTGAGTGAAAGTGTGGTGCATATTATTGTATTAATGTTATTCTCAAATAAACATTTATTTATATTAAGACTTAAATTAAGTAATAAAATATATATAGCTTATTCATTACCAGGAAAGCAATTTAATACATTGTCAAGATACAGTATATTTCTTTAAAATTTCTTATCAACTGTTTTATAAAAACATTGTTACATTTCTATTAATACATACAAGTACTTTTCCGAACTTCCTAATAACTGTAAATATTCCTCAATTTGTTTTTTTATTAAATAAACATAATTTAAATTATTGTTTTAATCATATACAATATAATTGCAGGTTATACCTGTGGTATACTTCTATTTGGCCTTAAAATTGTGATTCTAGCACAATAGAAATAATTGTTTTGTGAATTTGAATATTTTAAAACAAAGACCAAATACATATAAAAATAGTTTTATTGATTTTTAAGAATAAAAGTACAAATTCATTAATGAATATCAAATTATAAAAAATAATGAGTAACTTATTTACAAAGTCAGCCTTATACTTATTAAAACATGTAAACTTAAAATTATTGAGTAGCCTTAAATGTAAATTTTTTTTTCACACATAAGTTTCAACTCTTCTACCTTTAATTCTATCAAAAAATTGATGCCATGAGACTAATGTTTTACCTGACCAGATCCAAAAACTAGAAGTAATACCAACAATCATGGTCATTAGATATTTGATCATAAACACTTCAAACTTAGGACGTTCCATTTCCTGACGAGTAAATGGACAGGGAATTGAATAAAGAGGAGATGAACACATATCCCTATGCCATGTTATCATCCAGCTATCAAAATGTGCCTGTTCATAAAACAAGCATGCTATGACAATTAAAGCAGGTACAGTATACAAAACACCAAACACGCCAATACGGATCATAAGTTTTTCTAGTTTATCAGTTTTTGTCCCATCATGTTTCATTACAGTTCTAATACGAAACAAGGACACAAAACCTGCTAGTAAAAATATAGTACCTAGCACTAGGTAAACACACAATGGTGCCAAGACAAAACCTCTTAAAGCATCTGCATCCCACAGTCCTACATAGCATACTCCAGATAAGATATCACCTGAAAAAGAAAATTTTTCAAATTTAAAATAATAGTAATATTTATCATAAAATGTTTAAAGTTAATAATTAAGATTTATACTACAGAATGTTGTTTGATTTAAAACAGCTTTTAAGATAATTTGTCAAATAAATCCTAAGAATAACTACAATCATTTACAATAATGCATAATGATAAAAGAATATCAAAGACATATGATACATAGAATTAATTCTGGAATCAGTTTTTTAGGAACTCACCATCAACTTTTCCCATTGCCAATGTTGATATAGTTTTGATGGCAGGTACTGCCCATGCAGCCAAATGAAAATATTGTGAATTCGCTTCAATGGCTTCATGACCCCACTTCAAACCGGCAGCTAAAAACCATGTGAGTGTCAAAATCACCCACCATATACTAGATGCCATACTAAAAAAATATACAATCATAAAAAGAATAGTGCATGGTTCATGTTTTGTTCCTTGTGTAATAATGGATATATTAGGAAGTCTAGTTCCACTGACTGTTGAGGGAAAAGGACCTTGACAGCTAATACTGTCACTTGCAGTCCAACCCATAACATATGCTGCAGCTACCATCAAATAACAAACAGATAAGAATATTATGGGTCTTTCAGGGTATCTGAATCTATCAGTATCTATAAGAAACGTAAGGACTGTGAAAAGACAACTTAGAGTACACAGAGTTGCCCAAACTCCAATCCATAGTCTAGAAAAATTCTTTTCATCTTGAGTAAAGAACATTCCATTACAAGGTGCTCCACAGTCATATTCAATTTTATTTCCAACTTTCAAAGAATATTCTAGATCCAAATTTTTAGGCACCTTAAATTGAACAGGACAGACAAACCCATAATCTTTGGCTCTGAAGAGCTTGGTTGGGTCCCTTTCAATGTTAGACTTGAAGTCAACTTTTGGCAATTTAGCTTCATTGGGTTTCCAAGATTCACGTGTTGCATTATTATCACCAACACATATGACATTTTCATCTGTTGCTACTGGAAATCGTGAACACTGTAAATGTTCTGGCCACGGAAATCCATACAAAAGCATTAATTCATCACAGTTATGTTTAGCAGATTCACATAGATGTCGACATGGTGGTATAGGTTTATCCAGTATTGTACAGACAGGAGCATATACGGAACACAAAAAGAACTTTAAGTCCGGTGAACACTTAATTTTAAGTAGCGGTGTAAATTGATGGACTTCGGGACCAGCATCTTCCTGTTTGGCGTGGTTGAGTATGTTTGGAAAAATAGTTTCATTATATATTATTTGTTGACAAAAAGGAATTGTTATAGGTTCACATCTGCCATGGTGAGGTAAGGTATCTCCTTGATAAACGGTTACGTGGGACGTTTTAGACAACTCAAACAAACACAACACTTTTAAGGTAAACAGGATCCACGATCTTCCCATTATGCATAAAATGCAGCTCTAAAATAATGGTGCTCTAATAAACATTATAAAATTCATGAGGCTATTGTAAATTATGATTTAAGTAAAAACGTTAAAATTATTCATTGTTTCAATTAGCAGTTAATGAAGAACTATAAAAAATAAATTGTATTGTACAAACAATACAATACAAGTACCTATCACAGTTAGGTAGCAGCACAGACTAAGAAGAAGACACTACTAGCGGTGAGGCGTATTTATCGTAACAGGTAAAAAGGACAAGTATTTCCCTACGGAACATAACAACTGTTATTCGTAACAAAAATACCTGTTATAGAAAATACTACACGCGAGAACAGTACTATGCGTAAAATATCGTAACAGCACAATCCGCTGTTATCTCCTGTTATTGGTCTGCGGCTGTTATCCCTGTGTTCCTGTTCCTAGCTAGAACAGTTCCCATCTCATTCTTACCTATGAAGTCAAAAAGAGAGCCACCTAGTACTTTCTTCTAAATATCAGGAAATTTAAGTTGACCCCAAATCATAGGCGTCATAAGCCAACTTTGTGTCTCCTTAATTTTGCTTCATCGTATCAACTAATGTTATTCGTCTATGTTTCTCTCATTCTCTCATACAGGTCATAAGGCAGTAAAAAGAGATGGTGACTAGTATTTTATAATACAAGAAATTTGTATTTGACACTTCTTTATTATGATACATAAAGTAGACTCCTAAAATTTGTTGTATAATTTAAGTGTAGGAATACGTTCGGATACATTACACATAAACTTTTGTTATTGAAACAAAGACACGGGAGAAAAAATTGAATAGTCATCAAATTATTTTATGAATGTTGAATTGTTTTCATTCAAATACGATCATTTTAAACACATTTATACAAAAATAAATCCAATAATGCCTGGTTTAAAAATGGAAAATTAATTAAGCAAGTATATTTAATTTATTGTACAAGTATCCGAACACGGCGTCTGCTGTCGTCGATCAATGTATTACTTGGGATTTTAGACTTTATTCTGATATCAGCTAAGGCTTTTTAAACAAATGACAAGAAAATTCACTTCTTTGACCTGATTGGTAGTTATGATTGAAGCGTAATTATCAAGCATAGTTGCTTGATAATGATTAGTCGTATTTTTGACATTTGAACGGTCGTTTTAGAAGATAAAATTATAGCCCGGATGCCATGGCGTCATCTGTACCTTGCGAACGGGTATTCTCCGCAGCTGGGTACCTAATGAATGACAGGCGAACAGGCCTCGGGGTCAGCAAATTCCAACACCTGCTTTTTCTGCACCAGAATTTGTAAATATTAGATAAGTTAAAACTTGTAAATATGTACATATTCTACTGTAAATATCAAATCATGTACATACAATCAATTCAAAACTTTCAAATGCCCCAGTTTGTTATGCCCTTACACCACCAGCTCTTTTACGTCCCCACTGCAGGGGCTCAGGCCTTCCTTATGGATGGTTAAGGAGGATGGGCCATGACCCTCCACGCTGGCCCAATGCGGATTGGAGGGTATTAACGACTGCAAATGCAGCCGGGACCAACGGCTTAACGTGCCTTACGAAGCACGGAGTAGCTCGAGACAATAATTTTTGTTCACCCATCCCGTGACCGACCCTTGCGAAAGTTGCTCAACGATTACGATCGCGGGCCGCGGCGCTTATCCACTACGCCACCGAGTTATGCCCTTAAATATAATTAATAGTAAATTATGGACTATACAGAGGAAATAAAAATATAATCATATAGGTAATGTCACAGAACATAGAGAGAGAATAGAAGTAGTAAGTGGGCGTGGCAAGCGTCGCTGGCATATGCGCTTTTACTCATATGACGCCCTTTCCTCGGTTTTATATTTGTCAGTCGTTCGTCAATCGTCGAGTGGTGATTTTACTGATTTTTTCTATAAAAAATACCGTTTTGTGCTATTATCACTTGCAAAAAGCAAAACAAAGTATACAATCTAACTAATGCAAACATTTCCTTTCACTGGTAAGTACAATTTTAGTGCTAAAATATAAAAAACGTAATAATTTGACACAATTTCAAAGTAAATATACATTGTTTGCTCAAACCAACATTAATGTTTCTAACCCCGTTTCTAGACAGCAATGTAAATCATATTGTGCACTTTTACAAAAAATAGTGCTGTGCCTCCTGAAAATAAAAGATGAATTGATACGGACCAGATGAAATAATGAACTATTCAGGCACTTTTTTACGAAGATTCGGTTAATTATTTACACGCAGATAAATATTATAAAAATTTTGATGTACTATAAATATCTAAATTACGAAGTATATCAACGTTTTATGAACAATATATAAATCAAACGAAACTTCGTGAAAAGCTACGAGTGTTGGCCTAATAGGTCTTATTAGAAACTGGTGAAACTGGATTTCACTTATTTTGCATTACTTATATTTCAGTTTCCCTAATAACTTTACAACGGATTGCCCTGTTTACATAATTTATTTTGTCCTATCCGTTTTAGACCTAAACCTATCAAATGAATTTCAAAACAACATATTATCTATACAAACAAAAAATCATGTTTTCAACTAACGTAATATTGTTGGTGGTGTGAATTTAATTTACAAAATTAATTTATAGGCGTCAATTTAATTAACTTTATTATGGTGATTCATAATCGGAAACCATTATTATAGAAATCAAGTTAAGATAGCCACTTTAAAGAACCGCCCACAGAACAGCTTTTATCAATTTTTTTGTTGCTTCATATTTGCACATAAGTTTATAAACGCATGTCTCAAACGGATGTGACTTTATATGTAGATTGACGTTTGTACGTACTTATCGCTTTTGTGTTTGTCTTCAAACTTTTTTGTCACGGCTTTCAAACTCATACTTGACCAGCGATTCCTTATTGTCCAGTCGTTGCAATTAAAAATGTAGGTACTATTATTATTACAGTTATAAAACTTAGAATAATAAAGTAAAACAAACATGGCTATGATCAATTTATTATTGTAATGATCATATTAGTTATTATGAATCGCTTTTGAATCGTCCAAAATTTTTTTTCCCCTTACCACTTGTTCAGGACGTCTTTTAGCTGACAAGAAGAACAAGCGAAAGAAACTTACCAGCCCTATGATATTTACATAAATCATGTCATTTCATATCTTATCACAATAATAAATACAACTTTCAAAGTCTGTAGGACATAGGTTGAACATAGAATTAGTCTTTATAGAACAAAGCGATGGCTATTCATTCCATGCATTGCGATTCTCAAAATAATCATCAACTTTATAATAGCCTTTACTCATAAGTATGTTCATTACATGAATTTTAAATTTATTTATGGGTAAGTCAACTACATTTTGTGGAACTTTATTGAACATAGCAATGTAAATGCATTGATCCTCTGGTTTTCTGAAGTCTGAAGCTTGGAACGGCAAGTTTATTTTTATTTCTTGTGTTATGATTATGAACACTACTTTTTTTTGTGAAGGAATCGTAATGTTTTCTTGCGTAGATAATATTTTCATTGATGTATTGAGAGGCAACAGTCAAATTATTTATTTCTTTAAATATTTCTCTGAGAGATTCTCTAGACCGTAAATTATATATAGCATGGACAGCTCTCTTTTGTAGAATAAAAATATCTTGAATGCTAGCCGCAGAACCCCACAACAATAGATTATACGTCATTACACTATGAAAATAACTAAAATATACCAATCCTGCCGTTTCAACATTTGTCAAGAGTCTAATTTGCTTAACAGCAAATGCTGCAGAACTCAGTCTACTTGACAAATTATCAATATGAGGATCCCATTGCAGTCGGGAATCTAGTGTAATACCAAGGAACTTTGTCGATTTCACCAACTCAACTTTTTCACTATTTACATTTATAAGTGTATTAATATGCCTCACATTAGGTAATGCAAACTTTATGTATTTCATTTTATTTGAATTAAGCTTTAAATAATTACTATCAAACAACTGTAGAATATTGTCGAACTGAATTACATTTTACTGTTTCATAACAAAATTTAAACCTCTCATTTCATCAACTACTATTATGTCACATCACTAATATGCACAATCGGAATGATACCAGTAAGAAAAAATTACAAATTAGGCTTAATGTAATTAATACAAAAATTCTGTTGGTTTCTTAATTTTGTTTTTTTTTACACTTTCCCTCGCTTAATTATATTACTCCACAGACATATGATAGAGTTTATCATTAAGTTTTCTTAGTTTTTGTACTGCGTTTTTTAAAAGAAGTTATATAGGGAAAAGCGTTATTTTTTAATATTCACTTGGTTACAGCAAAATCTAAGCTTAATAGTTCGCACATAAAATGATGTCCCCAATTTTTTTAAATGTGCATAATCTTAAAATATTTTTTCCCTTCTGGTATCCCCGTATACAGCCACGTGACAGTTCAACATTCATGTTAAAGTAAATTATTTATTATCACGTTGAATTAGAGTTTGTTTTTAATCGTGTGATTTCTTAGCTTAGTATCTTTTTGGGATTATGTTTATGTTATCACGAACGTATCGCGTGGCAGTTGTTCATGTAGCGAACAAAATGATCATTTCATCTAATCTGTATTTGTGTGCGGAGAGGCGACACTCGGTTCCCATACTAAATCAATATCATTATACTTCTATTCTCTCTCTATGTTCTGTGGGTAATGTGTATAAAAACTTTACCACATGACACCTAAACAATAAATAGAATTCATTATCTATCTTGACAAATTGACAGTCCTCTAAGCCTGATAAGCATGAAGGAAAGTTTTTGGATTGTTTTTACTACGCCTTAGCTATACTAATTTTGATTGTAGTTATAAAATAACAGGCTGTTATTTTATAACAGGTATTAGGAACTGTTAAGTTTAGATAACAAGAACAGCTGTAACAGGTATTTGATTTAACCTGTTACGACTCATCATTAGATACTAGGGGTAGCTAGCAGTTTGCACAGATTATTAGAATGATAGTTTGTAAAGTAAAATAAAACAAAAATCTCTATGGTAAAATACCTGTTCTTTAGTGATAAAGAAAAAAAAACATCGAGTACTTATAATTCAAGTCGCGAGTAAAAGTTATGAAACGAGTTGCGCTTTATTCTTCGATCAACAATACAACTATAGGTATTTATTAACATTATCATTATTTATTATAAACACGTACTAATAATAATA